GAGAGCCCCTGGCTCTATTCCTGGCTCCGGCCCCTCCTCCCCTTACAGCGCAGGAGCCCCCGGCTCTATTCCTGGCTCCGGCCCCTCCTCCCCCCGGTTACAGCGCAGGAGCCCCCGGCTCTATTCCTGGAGAGTGCAAGGGGGTCTCGGGGGCTGCGGGGAGGCTGCAGGGGGTCTCGGGGGCTGTGCGGTGGGTGCAGGGGGTTTCGGGGGCTGCGCGGAGGGTGCAGGGGGTCTCGGGGGCCGCGCGGAGGGTGCAGCGAGGTTTCGGGGGCTGCACGGAGGCTGCAGGGGGTCTCGGGGGCCGCACGGAGGGTGCAGGGGGGTCTCGGGGGCAGCGCAGAGGGTGCAGGGGGCTTTTAGGGGCTGCGCGGAGGCTGCAGGGGGTCTCGGGGGCTGCGCGGAGGGTGCAAGGGGGTCTCGGGGGCCGCGCGGAGGCTGCAGGGGGTCTCGGGGGCTCCGCGGAGGGTGCAGGGGGTCTCGGGGGCCGCGCAGAGGGTGCAGGGGTTTGCTGCACTGGCTCTGGGCCTGGAGGGAAGGGCAGGTGAGGAGCCGGTGAGGAGCAGACACCGACCCAGCCAGCAGCACTTGTGAATGGGGAGCAGCCGCTCACCCCCAGGGCACCCGCGGGCGCTGCACACGCAGTTCGGCAGTGCATGACCTCCCGCCATCTCTGCCCCTCCAGGGACACTGCAGTCGTAGGGTGGGCAGAGCCAGCGGGAAGGGGAAGAGGTGCAAGCAGCCATCTTTAGCAGGAGACACCGCCTTGGTGCAGGGCGCTGCCTCGGGGCGGAGGACACGGGGGGGCACCGGTGCTGCACGGTGCATTGCGGGCTGGCAGCAGCAGTGACAGGCCCTGGCTCGCAGTGCACCATGCATGACCCGCCTGAGGCAGGGGCTGAGCCCAGGGTCCCTGCTGGGGGCGTGGCCCCGTAGGGTGACCAGATGTTCCGATTTTAAAGGGACAGTCCCGATTTTGGGGTCTTTTTCTTACATAGGCTCCTATTACCCCCCACCCCGTCCCGATTTTTCACACTTGCTGTCTGGTCACTCTAGGCGTGGAGGGGAAAGGCCGGAGCGTGGAGAGCGGGGCCATGGGTAGAACTCACCCTCGCACGCCATTCCCGGGCCACAGGGAGCAGCGCGATTGTGTAGTGTGAGCGGGGCCAGCCCAGGCCGCGCCCGGCGGGAGAACATCTCCTAACAAAGCAGCCAGTCTGGTAGAAAACCTGTCAGGGACGGAGAATCCACCTCGGCCCTGGGGCCATCGCCCCAGTTCTCAATTCCCCTCAGGGGTCAACAGTTACCCCTGGTTGCCAGGCAGCTTTTCAACGGCCAGCGTGGGGGGCTGGAGCCAAGGCCTGTCCCCAGCTCACAGTCCCAGGGACAAGCGCGCCCAATGGGGGCCTGTAGCACTCCCAGCCCCCAGCCCCAGAGCCCTTGAGCGGGCACCTCCCAGGGGCAAATGAACACGGCCCTGGGGAGCGGGAGACGCAAGGACACCCCACCCACCACCACTCAGTCCCCCAGCCCTGACACCGCTCTGCCCCCCAGTCCCCAGTCACCACCTAGACCAGACACCACTCAGCCCCCCAGCCCTGACACCGCTCTGCCCCCCAGTCCCCAGTCACCACCTAGACCAGACACCACTCAGCCCCCCAGCCCTGACACCGCTCTGCCCCCCAGTCCCCAGTCACCACCTAGA